AGTGAATACTTTATGGGGCTGTTAAAAGTCACACTTTCCTCCAACGAGTACGTCCCTGCTGACATGCGCGCTCTGTTTTTGTGCTTGCTTACTCAAGCTGAGTTTTTGGTATGGGAATCCGCATGGAGGCGGGAGGTACGAGATGCATTACCCCAGCTTTGGGCAAAAGCCGAGACCTCCTCTGACACCGATGGAGGCATGTTAACCATTGATCATCTGTGCGGGATGGGGGAGTGGTGCGTGGCAACAACACAGGATGAAAAGATTCTAAGAGGGGCATTGGCAGCAACTGCCAAGGCGGCAGAAAAAGCATTTTTAAAGTTAAAACCCCGTGGTCCTGTTGTTAACTGTTTTTCTCTCAAGCAGGAGACACAGGAATCTTTCGTTAGTTTCATAGACAGGTCGTACAGGGCAGCAGAAGCACAGGTGCCAGAGGAGGGATTGAGGCAAGGCATGGTGAAGCAAATCGCCCTGCAGAACGCCAACGAGGCCTGCCGACAGGCGATGCTGAGCCTGCCCCTCGACCCAGAGCCTACACTCCAAGACATGCTGGACATGTGCACTCGAAGGGTCACCCTGCCATCAAAGGACACTCAGGGGACACCCCAAACGCCATCACGGAGAGTCTCCTTCGTCGAAGCCCACACGCCATCCGCGGCCCCAGCTCCTGCACGCCGCTTCACAGGGCCACCACCCAAAGGTTACCACCCAAGAAGGCCCTGCAACCTCTGCAATAAGAAAGGACACTGGGCATCTCACTGCCCCCTCAAAGAGGACTTCTTACGTTTTAAAAACCAACAGCAAGGGCAAGGTGCCTTCAACCCAGGGGGACAATCAAAAAACTAATTTCCCAGCGCAGTCCCTCCCTGCGTGAAGACACAAATTTGGTGGGAAACATAACATCAGGGGGCAGGAGGGACAACACATTAGCATACCCACCTGAGGACAAGAACTCTAATACCACACATGTCATTACCAGATTGCACAATACGGGAACGAGAGCTGGTGAACCAGCCTGCGTGGGGGGAGTCGGGAATTTCATCTCGCAGGCATGGCTTGGTCGGCACCCCGACCATCCCAGGCCCATCCTTAACACCCAGTCCAACTTCTCTCCATACAGGTTGGCCCTAACCGAACCCCTACTGCTCAGGGACAGCAATTGGCACTTTGTCACAGTGGACACACAAGACCCAGGGACCTGGAGGAGACTCCACAGTAAGTACATCGTCCTTGGGGACACAAAATACACGCCACTCGACATCACTATCGCACCCAATTTAACATCTGCAAACCCTAAACATCTGGTGCTTTGGCTACACTCTGCTCACCTGCCAGTCTACCATCCCAAAGGGCAAATCATTGCCCAAGCCATACCTGTATCTGGGGCCCCCGTCTACCCAGAAGACCTATGGATGAAAACCACAGAGAAAATCTACGAGGTGTGTCAGGCCCAGGTAATTGGGAAGGATAGACCCAAAATTGCGTGTTACATGTGGAATGGCGGTGAGCACAAGTGGCTTAACGGCCTCTTGGACACAGGGGCAGACGTCACAGTCATTCCCTCACGGGATTGGCCGTCGCGTTGGGAGTTGCAGGACGTGGCTGAACAAAATCAAGGTGTTGGAGGGGCACAATTGGCAAAACAATCTAAAAACATCATCAAATTTGAGGGGCCAAACAGACAAATAGCTTACCTGCGTCCGTTTGTTCTGGATTACACAGAGCCCTTGTGGGGAAGGGACCTGATGGCCCAGTGGGGGGTCACATTGACCATTCCTACCCCCCAGGTTTTTCGGGCAGCGGTCACTGAGGAGCGTCCTACCCAAAAGTTGAATTGGCTTTCTGATGTTCCGATCTGGGTAGAGCAGTGGCCGCTCAATAAACAAAAATTAAAAGCGCTCCAAAAGCTCGTGGCAGAGCAACTTGCCAAAGGACATATCCAGGAAACAACATCTCCTTGGAATTCCCCCGTCTTTGTCCTGAAAAAACCAGGCAAAGACGAATGACGGTTGCTCCACGACCTTCGTGCCATCAACAATGTGATTGAAAATATGGGTCCACTCCAACCAGGGATGCTGTCCCCCACAATGTTACCAAAAGATTGGGAATTAGCTGTAATTGACATCAAAAATTGCTTCTTCCATATCCCCCTCCACCCTGAAGACGCACCACGTTTTGCCTTCTCGGTTCCGTCCCTCAACTGGGAAGCCCCAATGGAGCGGTACCATTGGCGAGTATTGCCACAGGGCCTCAAATGCTCGCCCACCATCTGCCAGCGGTACGTAGCTTCATTGCTGACCCCAGTCTGTACAGCCACCGAGGGCGTGATCATCCAACATTATATGGATGATATCTTGATTTGTGCTCCCAATGACAATCTCCTTACACACGCGCTTAACCTGACAACCGATGCGTTGGTTGCTGCAGGGTTCGAGCTGTGAGAGGACAAGATTCAAAAGATGCAACCCTGGAAGTACCTGGGTTTGGAAATTACCAAGCGGTCTATCACCCCGCAAAAATTGGCCATCAAAAACAAAATTCGGACCCTAGCAGATGTCCAGCAGTTGTGCGGTTCTTTAAACTGGGTGAGGCCATGGTTAGGTATTACAAACAGAGACCTAGCCCCTCTTTTCGATTTATTGAAAGGGGAAGAGGAGCCGAGTTCTCCCAGGGAACTCACCCCAGAAGCCCAGGCAGCTTTGATTAGGGTCCAGGAGACAATGTCTGCCAGACAGGCCCACCGGTACGATCCCGACCTGCCTTTTAAATTCATCATATTGGGCAGACTGCCACACCTCCATGGTGTGATATTTCAATGGACAGACACTCCAGGGAAGGGCAAGGACCAAGACCGAAGGCACCCAGTCTCCATCATAGAATGGGTCTTCCTAAGTCACCATCAATCCAAGAGAATGACAAGGCCACAGGAGTTAGTAGCGGAACTGATCCGCAAAGCAAGAGCGCGGATCCGAGAGCTAGCTGGATGTGACTTTGAATGCATTCACATTCCCATCAAATTGGAATTAGGCCAATTCACCAAGGCCAGGCTGGAACACCTCTTACAGGAAAATGAATCCCTGCAGTTCTCTCTAGACAGCTACACAGGCAAAATTTCAGTTTTGAGACCAGCCCACAAAATTTTTGAATCAGAAATTCAATTTGCATTGTCCATCAAACAAATTCAGAGCAAAAAGCCACTCAAAGCCTTGACAGTTTTTACCGACGCGTCCAGGAGTTCTCACAAGTCTGTGATAACTTGGAAAGACCCCCAGACGCAGCGGTGGGAGACAGATATTGTGGAGGTGGAAGGTTCCCCTCAAATAGCTGAGTTGGCTGCTGTCGTTAGAGCCTTTGAGCGATTCTCTGAACCTTTTAATTTGGTAACCGATTTGGCATATGTAGCTGGCATAGTGTCTAGAGCGCAGGATGCTGTACTGCAGGGTGTATCCAACGAAGCCCTGCACAAATTGCTCTTGAAAGTGATTAAGCTAGTCTCCCACCGAGAGCAACCCTTTTATGTGATGCATATCAGGTCACATACCAACTTGCCAGGGTTTTTGGCCGAGGGTAATCGGCGTGCCGATTCTCTCGCTGCTGCCCCGGCTCAGGTAGCACCGCTCCCAGATAAGTTCCAGCAAGCTAAGATCAGCCACCAGTTTTACCACCAGAATGCGCCCAGGCTGGTCTGGCAATTCCACCTCACCCGTGACCAGGCCAGAGCAATTGTGGCCACCTGCCCGTCCTGTAAGTCGCTCCCCCGCCATCGGTGAGCTTAGGGGCTAACCCTAGGGGTCTGAAGTCCTGCGAGGTATGGCAGATGGATGTTACTCACATCCATTCCTTTGGGAGGATGAAGTACGTCCATGTCTCTGTAGACACTTTCTCTGGGGCAGTCTTTGCTTCTGCCCACGCAGGGGAGAAAGCCAAAGACATTGAAAAGCATCTGATACAGTCCTTCGCTATGCTGGGCGTCCCAAAATTGATAAAAACAGATAATGCCCCCGGGTACGCATCCAAGGGATTTGCCAGCTTCCTGCAGCAATGGAGAATAGAGCACAAAACTGGCATCGCATCTTCCCCGACAGGTCAAGCCATGGTGGAGCGGACTCATCAGAGTCTCAAACGTATGCTGAAAGAACAAACACCAGCTATGAAAGTTGAGTCCCCCCAAGTTCGACTCGTGCGTACCCTCTTTACACTAAATTTCCTAAACTGTTCTTTTGAAAACCTCAACCCACCAATCACTAGGCACTTTGGCAACCACGAGCAAAGCAAGGTTAGGGAAAAACCACCAGTGCTCGTCAAAAATCCGGACACTTGGCAGCTGGAAGGGCCCCATGAGTTAGTCACCTGGGGACGGGGATACGCTTGCGTGTCCACGCCCTCAGGCCTGAGATGGGTCCCATCCAAATTTGTCCGGCCATATGTCCCCAAACACCAGACTGTTAAGAAAAAGGATCCTCAGGTGAAGCATGCAGCCCTCCGCAGATGGAGAAAGCCTCCTCCCTTCCTTTTCAATTCAACACCTTCTCTTTCAGAGCCTTCCCTTTCACCATCCAGTTCCCTAGACTCACTCTTCCCTTTTGATTTAAACCTCCCCTCCCTGAAATGCTAATTAATGTTCCAGTTGTTTTTCAGATGTAAGCTTCATCCCTCTCGCAAGTGACTGGCTGAGGTCGCTTTGAAGGATGAAGTCTCACAGGTTCCATCCAATCCATTTCAGAAACGGGACTTATGTTACTGTTAACACTCATTGTTCTTATTATAAGTTTTAATAATGTTAAAAGGTTTAAAGGTCATCAATTCCACCGTGCACATCGACCACGCAGTCTTCGACGCCCCATCAGAGCTGACACCGCTCGACGTAAACAGCCAGAAAAGAACCGAGCAGAACACCCAGAGGACATCGGGTTCAACGATGGGGAACAGGACTGTAAAACCTCCCATTTAAGTTATTTTCCGTTCTTTTCTTTTGAAAAAAAGAAGAGGGAGTTGTGGAATTGTGTTATTATATGTTTTATTATGTATAAGTTCGTTCCATGTACCCCCTCGCGCTCTGTAGCGAGCCCCCGGGTTTTCCCATCTGTCCCCGCGGTTTGCCTTCCCGGGAAAGTGCCAAGTCACTGTGTATTACATCTCAGACCATCTGTCAGTCACGCGGCGGGGTCGGCAGACGACCTGGAACCCTCCACTTGGCCGCCCTTTTCATTTAAGGTGTTGAAGGAAATCCAAGACACCGTTGCACAGTATGGTGTTGGGTCTGATGACGTTATGCAGACGATCCGATTACTTGTTGCTGACCTGCTGACGCCTTCTGATATTCGTTCTGTGGCTCAGGCTCTTTTTAACCCTGTACAATTTGACGTGTTTGAGGACAAGTGGGCTGTTTTAGTGGCCAATGCAGTACGGAAGAATGCTACGCGGGGGCAGCAGGATCCCAGACGTGTAGCTACTGCTGACATGTTGATGGGCACAGGCAATTATGTTGATCCTCAGGGGCAGGCTGGATACAATCCTCTCGTGCTTGAGCAGTGCAGGACGTTAGGCTTTGCAGCTGTGATCCAGACCTTAGAAATGGCTGCTCCGATGGAACCCTTTCTGACTGTTGTTCAAAGGGCCGATGAGTCGTTCATGGACTTTGCATCGAGGTTGACTGCCTCAGTAGAGCGGCAGGTGGTAGAACCTGAGCTAAGGCAAATGGTCCTTGCGAGATTTGCTAGGATCCACTGCAACGCAGAATGCAAGAGAGTCATACAGGCTCTTCCTGAAGGGGCTACACTCTCACAGATGGCAGTGGTCTGTGCAGACCTAGGCATGAGCGCCTTCCTCATGGGGAGGTCTAGTGCCACCCTTCAGGGTGTCATTGTGCACCTGGGTCTCATTGATGCAGACTTCACAGATTTTTGCGATGGTTTCCACACCCACCCCCCTGTTACGATCCCGAAAGGGACACAGCTTGCTCAACTTGTGCCTTTTAAGTCTTCTGTTCGCAGGACGGCTGACCGGTTGCGAGGTGATGGCGGTTTTGGATCCACTGGGCCGCCTCAAGTTCACTGGACTGCTGTCCTGACCAAAGACCGTCCCGAGATGCTGTGTACCCTGTCCATCCCTGGTGCGACACCGTCAGAGATCCGCCTGTGCAGGCTCCTTGACAGCAGCGCTGATGTCACGGTTCTCTCCCTTGCCACCTGGCCTCCGGACTGGCCCCTGGTTTCAGCGGAGACGTCTGTCGCGGGCCTGAGGGAAACAGCGCAATGTTATGTGAGCCAGCGGCCTGTGCTGGTCCCAAACCCAGAGGGACAGACGGCCTGGATTAGGCCTTATGTTACTTCTTCTCCTGCTAACCTCTGGGGGAGGGATGTTCTGTCTGCGTGGGGGGTGCGCATCGGGACGGCTTTTTGATGGGGGCCACTGCAGCAAAGGGTGCAGAGTGTTCTACGCCTCCTATACGGTGGCTGGTGGATACACCTGTTTGGGAAAACCAGTTGTAATTTCAATAGTTTCCCCCCCTCCACGCAGCCCCCCGAATGAATCCGACCAGCTCAGAGATATGGGGCTGTGAGGGGAGGGATACCAGGAGAGGGAAAAGTATTCAAAAGAGGCCCTTACCCCAGGGAAGTTGGAACAGCTCTGTTTATTCTGTGGTGTCCATGGAGAGCGGGGCAAAAGAGAAAGAGCAGGAAGTTTCAGGGGTCTATATAGGTTTTGGACAGGGTGGGCTCTCCTGGCTCCCTGCCAACCCTGTTGGGGCAGGAAGGAGGATCCAGGGGTTATCCTGATCAGAGCCACAGAGGCCCTAGGAAAGGGGGGACAAAAGGGTGTCCATGAGCTCACCGTAACACCTCCCCCTTATTTGTTAAACAAGGTTACAGGAATTCACTGGGCTCAATTCAACCCTGAGTATGGGTTTCCCACCACCCCGTGTTGGTGGCGTAGTCAGGCCTCCTCAGGTTAGCCAACTCTATGTGGTTGACCTCTGAGGTAGAAGGTATGAGGCCCTTGATAGCTTTGAAAATCAAGTGATGCAGGATCCTGAATGCTAGGGTTACAAGGAACAGAATAACAAAGACTAACAAAATTGATCTAACAACAGATGTCCACCACCCCGTGAATCCCCATCCGTTGAACAGTTCTGTAAACCAATCTTCAGACTCTTGCTTCACTTGTCCAATCAGGCTGTTCATGCTTCGAAGGGCAGCATGGACGTTTGGAGCTTTTGAAGTCAGGTCCATGCAACAAAGTCCTTCAAATTCCTTGCATTCATGTCCATGCAGTAGCAAAAGGAAATCTATTGCAGCACGATTCTGCAGCGTGGCCTGTCTGGTAATTTCCTCATCTTCTAGGAGGGAGCTGATGGCAGCAGATGTTAAGTTTGCCTGTTTGACTACCCAGCATTCTAGGTGGCCCAATTCACCTAGAGCTTTGGCTGCTGCGACCCACGGAAGAAACAGGGACACAGCAACTCTTTTTGACTCGGCCCAATGAAAAATTTCTGAGTTACAATTTGGGTCCTGTGGGAATCCAGGGCTTCCCTCTGGCTGCCCTGGCAGGTCTGGGACCCTGGCAGGGGGTCAGGAACCCCCCTGGACAGAGCCCCGAGAGACACTGTCTGTGATCTCTGTCCATGGAGAGGAGTTTTCAATCTTACAGGATAAATTACAAGCTTTGAGTGTTTGATAAGAATAATAATTAAGTGTGACACGGGTGCAAGAGTAAAATTTTAGGTTTCTAGATTAGGGGTTCAGAGGGGACAAGATGGAGGAATTGGGTGTGTCTTGTCCTTTTCCTCCTTCTTCATGCCCTCCATGTTTCACTGTAGTGTTGGCATTTTTCTATTGGTTTAGGCTGGGAACACACTGTTCAACATAGATGATAGATATTGGCACATTATTGTAAATATAGTACACGTAGTTTCTGGTATATAATGTTTGTACCATCCCACTGAGGGGCAGAGCCCCACACGCTGCCCTGCAGGACAGACCTGCGGCAGGGCAGAAGAACATGTTATAGATAAGCAAAAATAAACAACCTTGAAAACAGCACAGACGAATTATGGCTTCTTCTTTGGCAACGGGGCAGAAAGACAGAGACTTTCTACACTCTCGGAATCACCAATACCCACAGATTCCGACAGGGTCCAAAGGGTCTGCACTCCTCTTTTGAATTTTGTTTGCCGATTTATTTTTGTGAGTCCATTCACCAATTAGAGTTTGGTTGTGTGTCAATATGGACAGCTTTCCAATCGTACATGGCCCTCCTAAAAGCCGAGACGGAATTCCTGCCCATGCCTTATCCCCACAAATCAAAAACAATCCCTTAGGGAGACCTTTGGGGCTGGAGTGAGATGGGTTGTCTGCCCCGCTATGGCTCGTGTTCTGACACCACCTCCTTGCAGTGAACTCCCCACGGTGTTGTTTTATAACGTGGTATTCGTCAGTGTTAGAAGGTTTTGGGAGCACAGCAAAGTGTACACAGTAAGCTGCAGGGGAGGAACCCAATAGCTCTAACTCTTGGGGTTCCTGAGCTATCTTGGGCAAACCACGCAACCACTCCTCTAAGGATTTTAGGATCCCCCCGACTTGCTTCTGATCTTTGTGTGGTCATGGGGTGTATGACTCTGGGATTTCATTGGACCTGTATGTGTCCAGGCCTGCTGGAAATTCTCCAGCCTGCCATGGAATTCCTACCAGACAGGTGGACATAGGGTCTTTTGCTGCTGCAGTGGACAAGCAAATGTTTTCCTGCTGTAGTGTCTGTGCCAGGGTCACCCAGACGTTTTGACGTGGCTGAGGGACGATCCATGCGGCTGCCTGACTGTTCAGCATTAGCAGGATGACAACTCGGATGGGGTTCATCACCGGGTTGAGTGGGAGGTAGGTTTTCTCTAAAAGGGAAAAACAAACATTTTAAGAACATGTTAAAGTTTCTGTTTCTGCCGAAAGGGATTAATGCCTAGGAACTTTCTTCTTCTCCCATCCGGCGGCGTCTTCTCTTTGAAGCATCAGATACTTGCTTCTTGTCCCCTTCTGTTTGACCTGGATTCTTGGGAACAAAAGGTTTCACCCACTTCTGGGGAATCCACCGAGGGCCTGAGGGAGTAGCTACACACGCATAGCCACGACCCCAGGTTACAAGTTCATAGGGACCCTTGGTTTCCCAAGTTTCTGGATCCCTAATCAAGACCGGGGGATGCTGTGACAATTTAAACTGCTTGCCACTGTTAAAGTGACGCACAACCGGTGGACTCATATTTCAAATGAACAATTTAGAAAATTGATAGTAAACATAGCTTTACAGAGCTTTTCTCGTGGAGACATCCACGGAGCTGAGCTGTTTTGTTTTTTCAATACCTGCTTGAGCGTCTGGTGTGCACGCTCGACTACAGCTTGACCTGTGGGGGAGTGGGCAATGCCAGTTTTATGTTCCACTCCCCACTGTTGGAGAAATTCCAGGAACTCCTTGGATACATACGCTGGGCCATTATCTGTTTTGATCATTTTTGGCACCCCCAATACTGAAAATGCTTGCACTAGGTGTTGTTTGACATGTGCAGCCTTTTGTCCTATATGGGCAGAGGCATACACTGCACCTGAGAATGTGTCCACGCTTACATGAACGCATTCAAGGCAACCAAAACTCTGAATGTGTGTGATGTCTGTCTGCCATACCTCACAGCTGCTAAGGCCTCTGGGGTTTACCCCCATGCCTAGCGATGGCACAGCCTGGAGCTGACAATTAGGACAGTTGGTCACAATGGCTCGGGCCTGACTCCGTGTTAGCTGGAACTGTCGAATCAAACCTGGCACATTCTGGTGGTAATGCTTGTGACTCAGCTTTGCCTGTTGGAAAACATCAGGGAGACTTGCCTTTTCGACTGGTGCAGCGAAGGAGTCTGCTTTTCAGTTCCCCTCTGCAATCTCACCTGGCAAATCAGTGTGTGACCTCACATGCATCACAAAGAATGGATGTTCTCGGTGCGAGATTAAATAAATTAGCCTTGAGAGTAACCTGAAGAGATGTTCATTTTCTATTTCTCCAAGCACAGCCTGCTCCGCCCTGGACACTATACCTGCCACATAGGCAGAGTCTGTCACCAAGTTGATTGGCTCGGAAAACTTCTCAAAAGCTCTCACTACTGCAGCCAGTTCAGCCACCTGGGTGGATCCCTCCACAAGCTCAACATCAGCTTCCCAATGCTGAGTCTGTGGATTTCTCCAAGTCATCACCGACTTGTGGGAAGCCCCGGAGGCATCAGCGAACACTGTGAGAGCCCTGAGCGCCCTCCGGCTCCTTTTCTCTTGAGGAATAAGGTGGAATTCCTCATTGAACAACTTGTGAGACGGGGCATGGACTGATATTTGTCCCCTATAGCTGTCCAGAGATAGCTGGAGACTGGCACTGCTCTGGAGCAAATGCTCAAACATCCCTTTGGTCAGTCTCTCAGGAGAGTTCCTTCCCTCCTCAGAAAGCCTGACTGGAAGGTGAATACATGCAAAGTCACACCCTGCTAATTCGCACAACCTCACCCTGGCCTTCTGAATCAGCTTTGCTATCAGCTCTTGTGGCCTAGTGATGGTTTTGGATCTTTGGAGCGATAGGAAAACCCATTCTATGATTAAGAGTGGGTCCTTCTGCCCCTTGATCCATTGGAAAATCAACCCGTGCAGGTGTGGCAGCTTTCCTAGAACAATGAACTGGAAAGGCAGATTTGGGTCACACCTGTGTGCCTGCCTTTCCGACAAGGCCTTCTGTACCTTTTCGATTGCTGTCTTTGCCTCTGAAGTCAGTTCCCTGGGGGAGGTCAGCTCCCTCTCCCCCTTCAATAAATTGAAAAGAGGTTCCAGATCTTCATTTGTGAGGCCTAGCCAGGGCCTTACCCAATTTAAAGACCCACACAGCGAGTGGAGGTCTGCTAATGTTCTGGGGTTGCAATTTATCTCCAATTTCTGTGGGACAATAGTCCTTGCAGAGATTTCCAGGCCCAGGTATCTCCAAGGTGGCATTCTTTGAACCTTGTTTTCCTGCAATTGAAATCAAACAGAGGTTAAAACTTTAACCACTAGGTCAAGTGTGTATTGGAGTATAGAGTCATTGGGAGCACACACAAGCACATTATCCATATAGTGTAGTATGATGGCATCCTTTCTCTCTGCACGTACTGGAGACAGTAGTGCTGCTACATACTGTTGGCATATGAAAGGGCTAGATTTTAAACCTTGGGGCAAAACTTTCCAGTGGTAGCGTTTCATCGGGGCTTCTCTATTGACAGTGGGGACTGAGAATGCAAACCTCGGGGCATCTTCAGGGTGCAATGGAATGTGGAAGAAACAGTCCTTTATATCTAACACAGCCAATTTCCAGTCCTGGGGAAGCATAGCTGGACTCGGCATCCCTGGCTGGAGAGGTCCCATGTCCTCCACAATTTTGTTTATCTCTCTGAGATCGTGGAGCAATCTCCACTTGTCCTTCCCAGGCTTCTTTATTACAAAGACTGGGAAATTCCAAGGGCTGTCTGTTCCCTGCAGGTGTCCTTGAGCTACCTGCTCCTCCACAAGTTTTTCAAGCGCCTCGA